TATTTTTTATTTATAGTTTATTTCTTTTTGAACTCATTTTTTTTAATACATATATCTTTTATTTCATATATTAATTTACCATATTTATTTGATAAATATTTTCATTTGCATCAATATATATTTTTTATATCAAATTAAATTTTTGTTTAATATCTCGGATTCGTTTTTAAATGCTTTGAGTTAAGTTTTAAAGGGGCTGCCACCCACCCTCACACACACAAACACACACACACACACAGATACATACTGAGCGGGTGGGCAGTTGTTCCATAAGTTAATTTCGCACAAAGCTTCCAAAACTGACATTAAAAGCTGTGATATCTCTTTATAATGATAGCATGTATGGCAGCAGCTCATTTGAACATTAATAAAATTGTATGCCGCTGACAGCATAAATGTCACCAAAGTGCTATTAAAACTAAATTATTGCCGGCATAACCATGATTCATTAGGACAAACCGAGAAGACGGCGCAGAGAAATCATAAAAAATATATATGAACATATACGAAATGTGGCAATAACTCGCAAATTTGTAGCTAGCTTAAATACAAGAGAAAAAATTGTTTATTAATTTGTAATACGAAGGCGGAGCCCTGAAAAAAATGCCCGCAAAAAAAAATGTGGCAAGGCGTGTTCAACTTTGAAAATGTGCCAAAAAAAAAAGAAGAGAAGAAGACAGAAAAAAAAGTTTACAATCGGCGAGTGCCTCGGCTTTAATACCCTTTTTATGCGCATTTCAATGGAAAACGGGGCCTGAGACAAAGAGAGACAAAGAAGGTGGTGAGGGGGCTGGAGAGGGCCGGGGCGGTGTGGGGCCCCAAATGAAATAATGGAATTAAAATGCGCCTTTTGCTTTGGCAAACTCAGTCAGTTGGACACACACAAAAATACGAAGCAATAAAAACAATAATGAAATCAAAAGAACGAGAAAACAAGGCAAAGCAGAGCGAGCCAAGGAGAGAATGGGCATTGAAATGGATCGGTTTTCGGTTGGAATTATAATGAGCTTTACTTTGATATTTTGTTTTTCTCTTTCGTTCTCGTTTTTTCTCGTCTTGTATTTTAAGAAGATAATGAAATTTAGCGCAGCATTGAAAATTGTTGAAAACATATATATTTTCTTAAGTTTTTGTTTTTATTGGAAATATGTTTGCCATAATGAGATTGTTAAAATTGTTGGTTTTTACTATAGCCAGCACTTTGACCTCTGAATCGCTCTCATGCATTACTTAAATTCATTTACATTTGGTAAAGCTTTGCATATTGAAGTGTTTTCATGTTTTACAAAAATAATATTAAATTGATTTATTGAAGCGTTTAAATTCGCTCGAACTTCCAGACAAACTGTCCATCTGCTGCAAGTCAATATATATCGATGGCAATATGGACGATGACAATATGGAGATATTGTATACAAATAACAGGTGGCATTTCCGGTTTCGTGCACCATTGGACACACAATTTTAATGTTGCAATGCAAATTGTTGGTTTATTTATTTCACTTTTTTTTCATATCAATAAATACGAAATACAATAAGAGCTGAATATTGAGACGTTAAGGCTGCTGCAACCAAGGGGCTTAAATAATATGAATAAAAAAACGCAAGCCGGATTTTTGATATGATATATGTGTGAGGGGTTAATGGATGAACATTTCCTGATTACTGTTAATTAATGTGAATATATTATTTTAGTTTTTCTTATCAGTTTCTTTGGCTATTACTAATTATTTCCATAAAGATTTTGATTATACAATTAATAAAGTCAATTATTAAACAAACCATTATTTTAAGATTATAATCTGATATGAAGTAAATAAAAATATATAAAAATGGGCATATACATATATGCACCATATGATATCTGTTGAAACGTTAAAGATTTTTCTTTAATTTTTCAATATAAGAACCGATCAGAAATATCTAGAATTATTGCGGAGGATAGGCAGTTCAGTTCTTTCTATATTCTAAAATATATAAATATTTTTTTATATTCTTTATATATCTATTTCCTTTGCTTACCATAGAGCCAGCTTTTAGCTGACTTCAGGGCAATTCCTAGTCGTCTACTCTCCACTCTGGTTATATTTTAATTTCGCTTTGCTCTTTTCTGTCTATCGATTGCCTGCGGCTGGGCCACGTCGGGGATTTGCGACAAAACTTTCCGCTTATTTTGCTGTCTGTCTCCAGACGGAAGCAACAACGTCGACAACGCCGCCTGAACTTATGTGTGCAAATATTTATTTTAGGATTTTTATGAAGTTGGCTGAAAAGAAGAAATCACAGCCAGAAACCGGAAAATCTCCGTGTTGCGTCTTGGCTAATAAAACTCAACTTAAGCAGGCTCTGTCAGCTCTCCCAGCTGTACTCCGTGAGTCCATAGCCGCTGGGCTGCCTCATGCGCTATGCTCATAATTATTGGAGAGATTCCAGCATAGAAATCAATTAATTTCTATTATTTTTATTTCCCTTTTTAGCAACTTGCGGCTAATTGAATTTTCTATAAAACAAATATGTCGATGCCTTTAAACAAAAAACACGCAACTATTGTGGACATTGCTTTTGTGATGGGCAGGAAGCGATTGGCTGTTGCCTATGCGCCTGGTTCGGACTAAATGAATTATGTAACATGTCTAGCCATTTAGTGCCATAATTCAGAGCAATCTATGCCAACGCAGACACATCAAAGCCGGACAGAACGGGCCTAGTTTAGGGCGTACGCGCGCCGCTTTCAGCTGGAAAGGGAGCCAAATTGCTCGGCAGCGAGACAAATTACATTTGCATAGGATAATTGGAATTGCATATTGAAAAATATTTATGCCTTCAAATGGGATGCAAAAAGAGGGAAACAGGAGAGAAAAAATAACGATTGAAAACTATAATTTGTTGGCGGTTTTGTGGCTTTGCTCAGCGCAAACAGTGTGGGCTTATTTATCCACACTCGCACGAAATGAGTTTGAAAAATTGAAATCTTTTTGCATGTCGAACAAATTGGCTTAACGCGAGAGCTTAGCTCTGATTATGCATGCGATTGAAATTGCAAAAACTAAAAAAAAAGGGAATTCTTGGTAAATAAAAAGTACATATGTAAATGTATATATATTTATATGCTATGATATATTTGATTTTCTGAAACATTTAGGCTTACTCTCGTTTAACTGTCACTTTTCTTAAATTTCGGGCCTCTATCAAAAAGAGTTTTAAAATTCCAAATATTATCAGATTGTTCATGTGTGTAGGATGCCTGTCGCCGTTCGCTTGGTGGAAGCTCTGGCCATAGTCACACTAATGGCCCTAATTACTTGCGTCTCCCTCTGTGTGGTGATTGCACAGCAATCGTTGAGCCTTGCAATAACATTCATAGAGGTGCGTACGCTGCAAGTTGAGTGAAAGACTCTTAGTCCTTAGACTCCTACCATGCCATCCATCCTCAGCCAGCTGCAAATATACTCGATGTCGTGTTGATAATGGCCGAGAAATTGTTGGTCGGCGCATTGGTATTCAGTGTTACCCTAATCAATACTGTTTGTTGTGCATTGCATATGATTGGAATTGCTTAGGGAAGTGACACTTGACCCACAATGGTGATCTGACAATACTGTACACTATTTATGGTGACTTTTAAAACTCTTCTATCAGATCAGCACCATACTCAAGTGATGTAAAACAATTGAAATTTTTAGCGCTTTCCCTGTATAAAAGTGAGGCAAGAAAATAAATTTTACCGAATTTTGTACCGGCTTTTCTACAACTTAAAGCCCATTTATAATATATTTATTTTATATTTTACATACTTTTTAATTTATATGCATAATGATAAGTACCTTAAGCAAACCGAACGACTGATGTGGCAATTTAAAAGCTCTCTGTGGCCCTTCGCCAAACGAACCACAGTAAAAGCCAAAGGAGAAACTACATACATACATACATGTATATATTGTATGTATATATAAAGGCACAAACACTAATATTCAATCAAACAATTTCACGCCCCAATAAATTTTTTTAACCAGCCGGCGGCTAAGCACAAAATGCGCTCAATTGCAGCAAATATGCGCTATGGCTGGAAAAAGCAGCGCTAAAAAAGAGAGGCGGACTAAGCGAGAGCGACTGTCAGATACCCTACAATAGAGACTAAAGTAGACATTGTTGAGAGTGAATATTTAATCAAGTGACTAATGGATAGCCAATGGATAGATTAAGCTATAACTTGTTTGGAGATTATATTAACTAAGCAAGTTTATGTTTCTGACTGACTAGCAGATACCCTATATACAGGCTAAGTTATGTTGCAGGCACGGATTGACTCACAAGCATGGGAAATGAGATATGAACCATTTGCAGAAAACGAGAAAGAATAATTTAGTTTAATAATTTATGCAATCTATAAATAATTCTTTAAAACTACAGTGAGTCATACATATACATATATATGTCTGAATTTACCTATATGAATGAATACTTACCATGTATAGATCATTATTTCATATGTTTCTATAGAGCACATACGCCACAATCAATATACCTCTTCATCTACTTGGGCTCCGCACAGGGTATAGTATAGAAAATCAAACTGAAAGCACCTTTGAAAATAACTATTTATGCCTCAATATACCAACTTGGCCTTCCAGTGTGCGCATAATCATAAGGCCAACGGGCCGCTCTTAACGATTTTGTGCACTTTTATGCGGAACGGACACGTCAAAGGCCGCCTTTAATGTTTTAGCACCTTTTGTGCTGTTTATTCTATTATTTAGTTGTTTATCAATGTTTCAGGATCGCTGCCAAGCCGAGCCGTACAGCAATGGGACAGCAGCTCAGGCACTGCGTGTAGGAGTCGGGCTCGTTGTTGTTGCCCGTTGGTGCAATTCGTGTTTTGATTTAGTGCCAATTTCGAGCAGAAAAATTGTTCAATGCCTCTGGGGCAAAGTTAAGTTAAAAAACAGAGAAAAAGAGAAAAACACACGCAGATTACAGACGGAAATTGAAGCGGCTCGAGATGCCAGTTAACAAGCGAGAGAACAATAACAACTGAGTCACCCGAGGGTCAGATTGTTGTGTTGTGTTGTGTTGTGTTGTGTTGTGTTGTGTCTGTGGCCTGTGCGTGTCGCTCGATGGCAGCCAGGCAACAACACCTTGCCGAGTGGACCCCAAGAAGTTAAATGCATGCCAGCGACTTGCTCAATTTAAAAAACTTTTATTTGATCGCTTAGGCGCTCGCATTATGGGATATACTTCCTTGTGGCTTCTCCAGCATCTGGCGATACCAATCGGATATGAATGTCTGCTCGTTGCGCTCCGCAATCAGGCTGAATGTAAGTACGCCGGAACGGGCAATATAATCGAACTGATACACCGCACTGGGATTGTCCAGTTCCATGACCTTGCGCATCTGCAGCAGTAGAAAGTGCATCAAATCGATGCACTTCTCGCAGGACCAATTTTTGATCTGCAGGTCGAAGTAGCTCCATCAGCAGAGTAAATATTATTTAGCCGCATAACTTACATTATCTCGCATGAGTGTGGCCAAGGTGCACTTCTGGAGTTTGTGAACAAGTCCAGAGCTTTTGGGTCGAGCTATGTAAATATCGTTGACATCCTTCAAGTAGCACTCGAACCACCAGCTCAAGGCATCCACTGGCCTTGGCTTGAACCTAGGCGGCTGAATTACTTTGCATTCCACAAAGGTGCCTGGCCATGAGTCTGGTGCGCTATAGGCAATAGAAAATTTGGCATTTGAGTGGTACTTGAAGTACAGTAAATACGCACTCGAAAGGCTGAACACGATGCCCACCCATGCTGGAGGCATAGACCACGGCCAGTTCGCCAATGTTGCGGCTGAAGACACCATAGAACTCTCCGCTAGGACTGCGCGCATTGGGCGGCAAATGGGGCGTGTCTGTAATCTCAAAGTGTTGAGGTATCGGCTGTGCCTGTCATTGTACTGCATTGCGTTTACCTGAATATATCAAATGCTTCAGTTTAGTCTCCATACAGTTTCGACGCTCTCTGGCCAGCTGCTCTGCAGAGGCTTCATTTGACTGCGGCCGCGCCAGGCACAGGTAAAGCGTATCACGATATCTGCTGCCCAAGATTCGCCAGTTGCTCTTCCTGTAGAGCGTGCACAGCAGAGTCGTCAACACATTCTCCTGGGTGACAATGTCCGCCCGCACCGCCGACCCATAGACCATCGCATCCCGATGGTCCCTAATGAAGTGCAGCATATTGTCCAGATATTCAGCGTGCTGGTCACGCCCATTGTATGCGATATTTACGTTGTTCAGATTCAAGGGAAAGCTGTCTGCATCCGGTATCAATAGGAATTTCATCAGATGCGCATCGTCCTTATAGATGCGCTCGCTCGTCACACTAAAGCCGCCAAGTACTCTGGGCGGCAAGTTGAAGCCATTCGTCTTTGCTTGATTTCGCTTATTTTTTGTATGCTTCCTATACTTGTTAAGCTTGAAAATGATCGGAGCAGAGGACATCGTGGAAAATCTTGTCTGTGACTAGCAAACTTTTCTTTCGACTGAAATGTCAAACGCCCGTGTTGACTAGGGAAATCGAATAGTATTGTAAAATGCATCAATGTAATAAATCTAGAAACTTCGCTCACTTGACAAATGTAAAATTGAAATTGCGAATTATGAATTATAGAAAGAGAAATCTATATGATCTAGGCATTGCCTTTATTGAAAAGAATATATCAGCATATATCAAAAAATTCGATTAGACAGGCAGCTCGGCCTCCTGCACTTCGGGGTCTTCGCTGGTCTGAGCCGTGGCCATCTCTGGCTGCTCTGGCTGCTCAGTGGTTGTGGTGGCGGCTTCAGCTGGCGAGGACTCCTCGGACTGGCTGCAGGCGCAGGAGTCGCGAGTGTTGGCCGCTATCCATTCGTTGAAGTTGCTCACGCGTGTGTAGACGCCGGGGGAGCCGGGCTTGGCGCAGCCCTCGCCCCAGGAGACGATGCCAGCCAGTTGATAGGTTTGCTTCTCGTCAATCACGTGCATGGGCCCGCCACTGTCGCCCTGGCAGGAGTCCTTGCCGCCCTGCTCCACGTAGCCGGCACAGATCATGTTGTCGGTGATCTTGTCAGCGCCGTAGTTGGTCTCGCGGCACTGCTGCTGCGACAGCACGGGCACCTCAACCTCCTGCAGAGTATCGGATATGGGTCCACCCTCGCTGAGAGCGCCCCAGCCGGTGACCACAGCCGTTTGGCCAGCAAAGGTCTCGGTGGGCGTGGGCAGGCAAACGGGATGCATGTCGATGCCTAGACGCACCGGCTCATTGAACCGGATGAGCGCAATGTCGCTGTCGAAGTTGAGCGTGCTGTAGTTGGGATGGACGAGCACGCGAGCCACTCGCCTGTCCACGATCTTCACATGGCTGTCCTGCCGATTGTGCTCCAGCAGGCGCACCGTGATCAGCCGATGGTAGAAGCCGTTGACGCAGTGGGCCGCCGTGAGGGCGTACTGATCGTTGACCAGCGTGGCACCACAGTAGAAGCTGCCGAACCACATCAGCATGGCCATCCAGGGATACTCGTGCACCTCCGTCTCCTGCCCGCCGACGATGCGATGGCGCGTATTGATGTTGCCGCAGCCACAGGCCGGGCACTCCCGCTTGGCGGGCGACACGCCCGTCTCGGGATAGTCCGGACCCAGCACGGATATGATCCAGTCCAGGAAGCTGTTCTGCCGCATACTGTTCAACGACTCCAATATCTTGGCCGGCTCCGAGGCGCCGCGCATACTGGGCGTGGCCAGGGCCAGGCCCACCACTGAGGCTAGCAAGCAAATGTATCTCATTCTGGTTAGCGAACTAAGCTGGCCAACTGGCAATTGGCAACTGAATTGGCGCATCCTTGCCAATGCCCACAAGAAGAGGGCTCAGCTAGCAGAACCCTTGGCCGGCCTCGACCGGCTGCAGAACTGGCTAGACCAGCCGCCAAACCGGACCCAGCTAAGGTTATTGCCATTCCACATGCTGGAATGCTGCAGCTCTATAAATACTCAAGAGATTGTCTGATTCTTTTTTTTCTTTTTCTTGATTTAATAAATAAGGAAAATAAGTAAATAAAATATCTTCGACGAGTCGAAGTCTTTGATACACTTGCAGAGGCCTTTGCTAACTTTTCACATAATACGGATAAATTTGAACATAATTTAGAGAAAGAAATTAGTCTTTTTTTTGCCACTAAACAACTAAACTTTCCGTTTGGTGTCTTATGCTTGGAATCTTTTGGTTGATGTATCACGAAAAATAACGAAAGTTTTCCAATGAAAAAACTTGAATTTCGTCCAATCAAGGCAAATCCGATTGACTGAGGGCGTATCCTAAATAATAAGAATTTATTATTTGATGATTATAGAGTATTCATTCAGTCGCCTCAGCCTCAGCCTCATCCTCATGCTCATCTTCAGTTGCAGTTGCCAAAGCAAGTGTACTGCGAGAGCTCTGCACCAAATTACTTGATCTTCTTGGTCTCCTGCTGGCAGAGGCAGGCCTGTTTGGTGAGGTTCTTGATCCAGGTGCCGTAGCGATTCACTCGCGCATAGACACCTGGATAGCCAGCCTTGGCGCAGCCCTCGCCCCACGAAACGACGCCAGCGATCTGATACTCTCTGGTGCCATTGGGCACGATGTGCAGGGGGCCGCCGCTGTCGCCCTGGCAGGAGTCTTTGCCGCCCTCGTCGTAGCCGCCGCAGAGCATGTTGTCCGTGATCTTGTTGCCGTAGCGGCTCTTGCGGCACTCGTCTTGCGACAAAATGGGCACCTGAACCTCCTGCAAGGAATCGTTAGCCACGAATTGCTTCGATCGAGTTGTTTCAGCTTACCTGCAGCGTGTCTGAGGTGGGCCCACCCACCTTGAGGGCGCCCCAGCCGGTGACGACGCCGATCTCTCCCCGGAAACTGCGACCGGGCGTCGGCATGCAGACGGGATGGAGCACCTCGTTGAACTCCACATGCTCGTCCAGCTTGATGATGGCAATGTCGTTGTCATAGTTGCGGGCATTGTACTTGGGATGGGTGATCACCTCGGCGACCTTGCGATCGATTTTCTGCATATGCGACATCTTGCGATCGTGCTCCAGCAGGCGCACCGAAATGCGCTCCTTGCGGAAGCCGTAGACACAGTGCGAGGCGGTCAGCAGGAACTGATCGTTGAGCAGGGAGGCGGCGCAGTAGAAGCGTCCGCCATAGAGCAGCATGGCCACCCAGGGATACTGATGCACCTCCGTCTCCTGCCCGCCCACGATGCGCTTCTGGATGTTGGCCACGCCGCAGACGCAGTCGCTGCAGTTCCTCGGYGGACTCAGCGTCGGTGGCGCCGGCGTCGTTGCCCTTCGCGTTGTTGTGGGCGCTGCTGTGGTCGTTGTGGTTGTTGCTGCGGTTGTTGAGGTTGTCGACGCCGCAGCTGGCGTCGCAGTGGGCGTCGTCGCCGAGCTGCTCAGCGTGGCAATTGTGACGCTCTCGGTGGCAGCGCCGGGACGCTGCGGCAGCAGTGATAGAACCCATTGAACGAACGTGTTCTGGGACTGCTTCAGCACGGGCGAAATGGGCGCTGGGCCCACCGCAGTCAGCGCCGATGCGTTGTACTGCTGCGCGGCACCAGATCCGATCAGCAGCAACAGCAGCAGCGGCAGCAGCAGCAGCGGCAGCTTCAGGCAGTTCGGCAAACTGCTCCAAGTCATCTTTGCCTATGTTGGGAAAAAAAAGTTTGTTCGGTGGCTTTCTCTACGCTCAAGCGACACCACCAACTCGTGTGGCTCGATGCAAACTGAAAAGCCAGCCACAAATTTGAAAGCCAGCGACAAACATTTCACCGAAATTCACATTACAAGCCACACACAAAAAAAAAAAAAAAAAGTGGTTCTGGCCTGTGGCACGTCCACTTTGCCAATCTACAAACTCATACACATGTATGTGTGTGCATGTGTGTGTGTCTGTGGTTTTGTATTCTGCGCATGCGTAGGCCACGCCGGTTTGACCATGATAATAATACTTCACTCAACACAATATCGCACAGTTTTCGAGCTTTAGTCAACGGCTTTTTATACCCTATAGAATTCTGCGGAGTTCTGTCAGCTGAAGCAATTAAAAAGTTATTCAAATATAATAATAGGAATTCATTTCAGATATTATAATTTATAGAATTCCGCTATTTAATTTGCGGATTTATTTGCATTCATTCGCCTAGCCTCAACGGGTTTTATTTGATTTATTTCTTTGAAATGGAAGCGCATTTGTTATTCGTCTAGCTGCATGAATATGTATGTTCTCCACTTTTATTTTGTCATATAGATTTCGATGTTTGTTGCTGTTGTTGTTGTTTTTGCTTTTGCCACTGAAGTAGCGAAAGTTTTTCTCGCCGCTGATTTTATTGAAATACATTTTGATATGCTGTAGATTCGCAGTTCGATGGAGCGACGCGTCGTAATTTTACTTTCTTTTGATTTATTTTATTGTTGTTGCTCGATGTGCGTGTGTGTGTGTGCCTTTTGTTGGTRTAGCCTCAGTATTTGTTTGTATAAATAAATATATATCTATTTTTTGTTTTTGTTTTTATGCTCTTTTACGTGGTTGACTTGGTAAATACACTGCTTTGAGGCAGATTTAATGCATTTAGCTAAAGCGAATACTTCATTTACTTGTAAATAGATACATTTTTACAGCTGTCGAAACTCTATTAGAGCTTTATGGAATGCAGTTACCTTATGCTAACAACGGCGCTCGTAAAACTTTTAAGTGCACTTAAGAAGTAACAAAAAAATCTGTTTAAAACTCGATTTAGGGGCAGCGCCACACTCATGTGTGAGAGTGGGGCATGAGTCGTCTGTCGTCTGTCGGCTGTCGGCTGTCCGCTCTGCTCGTTCTGTGCCCAACAATTGTGAGACAGCTCAATGCGTGCCTGGCCGAGTTGTGAGTGAGTCAGAGGCAGAGATATGTATAACTGGGTATGGCTCAAGTAGCCAGCCCCCGACTATAAAAACTTAATGTAATGAGGGTGTGTGTGTGTGTGTGTGTGTGTGTGTGTGTGTGTGTGGGTTGGGCTGGGCAGTTGCGACTGCGCCGTTTAGTCGGGCAGCTGAACATTTATTGATAGATGGCCACAGTTGACAGATGAGCTCGCCACAAGTCAGATGCAGATGCAGTTGCAGATGGCTGGGCTGACGGCCACTGGAAAAAGTCATTAGTATGCGCACACATAACACTTGGCATATTAATTGTCCGAGTAATGTGGCGAGAGAGAGAGAAAGAGAGAGGAAGGGAGAGAGAGAGAGAGAGAGAGAGAGACCAATGCTGATGACGAACTAATGTGGAGCTCAGCTTTGGTCTCAGCCATAGTCATCAGGCCAACCGCAGTTAAAACAAAGTACCATTTGCATAATAGCCATGCTAGACAAAGAGCCAAACATCATAAACACACACACATATGTACATGTATGTGTGTATTTATTTAAAATAGAAGTATTTCCATTAGTGTGTGTATGTGTGCCTGTTGGGTTATTTATGCGATGAGGTAGTAGAACTGCAGACCTGCACTTGGCGGCGCAATTATGCAAGGCTGTCTCGTTGCTGGCTTCGAAACGTGACCACCAACAGAGTCTGACATCGAACCCACTCCCTGGCTTTGGGTTGGTGGACAGAGCGGGACAGCCAGGCCCAGGGCCAGGGCATTGCCTGTTGTTGCACACGTTGCCAGATATGTTAATAGGCTATGTTAAATGCAAACGGGATGCTACTAGTGAGCGGGCATTAAATAAGCTTCGGGACAGCAATTAGAGCGATATCGAGTGAGCTATACGTCCATTTGAGCTATGCGACAGATTGCAAATATAATGAATAATATAATGAATATTAACTATGTCGATGCATAAAAGTGACTGACTGAATGATTGGCGATCGTAATATGATTAATAAGATCTAATGTGGGATATTGGAACAGAGAGAGAGAGAGTGAGAGAGAGGGGGGGAGGGGGAGGGGGAGGGAGAGGGAGAGGGAGAGATCTAGGGAGAGTAAGAGCCAAGCTGAGAAAAGGAGAGAATGGGTGTGCGTGATACAATATGAGTGAGTGAGAGGTACAGAGTGAGAAAGATATAAAGAGATTGAATGATTGAAAGTGTGAGTATGTAATTTTGTGTTGGATAGCGAGAGAGAGAGAGAGAGAGAGAGAGAGAGAGAGAGAGTGAGAGAGATTGATTGAGCGATAAAGACAGTGAGTATGTTGAGAGGGAAAAGGATTAGGAGATGAAACGATATGAAGGTTTGGTTGTATTCATACAGATTTTAAAACTTAATAAAGAGAATAGATCTAGCTAATTTATATTATTTTTTATATTCATAAAAAAATGATATTCCTCTATTTCTCTATTCGTCTACAATTAAAATGTTAAATTATCAAAAACATGTTATTTTTTGTAACGAAATTTCAATACTCAAAAAATTGTGTAAAATGTGCCGGCTGGCTCGCTCCCTGCTTGGGCTGGGCAGTTGTCAGCCACAAAGGTTCGAGCCAGAAAAAAAGGGGGAAAAAAAAACACCGCTACGGGCTACAAACTGGAATTTAAATTACTCCCTTTGAATATTGTCCGAAAAACCTCAAAAAACAATTAAAACCGTGTTGCTGTGACCCTTCAATTTGGCCTTTTCGGAGCAGGAGTCGGTAAGCCGGGAAGCTGGAAGTCTGGATATGTACATGTCGCGGTACATGAAAATGAAATTTTCACAGACAGTTGGCTGCGTATAAAAATTTCACTCCTGATTTATGTACAGGAGGTGGCGGATGGGGAGTGCTACGGCAACCCTTGCGAGCCGGAACTAAGAGGCAGCTGGGTGGATGGATTCCATTAAAGCCAACGGCAATTGAGTGGCAACAGAGATATTGCAACATATTTGCATAGACAACCTTTATGACCAACTATTATATCGCATAGATAATGCTTTGCAATGCGCGCTGCGAGTTAGCATAAAATTTTATAAGCCAAGTTAATTAAACTGGTAGTTGGTAGCTGGCAGTTAACAGTTAACTGCCCGAACGGAGCAGAGCCGTCTGACTCCTGCGCTCGTTGCTCTGCGGTGGTGCAGGCAACTTTGTTCATTTGCAGTCGAAAAATTTAATTAGTTATTCCATTTGCGCTTTCAGTTTTATTTCAATATATATATTGTACATATATATTCGTGTTTTTTCTTGTTTTTTTTTTATTTTTATTTTGCCGGCACTTTGCATTTTGGCATTCATACAAATTAAGCCAATGCGCGCTTTGGCATTCTGGTGAAAGGTGTGCGGTGGTCCAAAGGACTCCGACGTGGTCAGCGTAGCCGCCGGCACTTCGTTTGTATTCTAGCCCAAATGAAGCAGGAGCTAGCTTTGTATGGGGCAGCTAAAGTTGGCCGCTTACAGTGTTAGATTTAAAGGGAAGTCTAAAGAAAGGCGGGCGCTGAAAGGTGCATCATCAATGGGCATGCAACACATGTTGCAGCTGGCGTAATAATACTGCAATCGTTTCTATTGGCAACTAACATGAAGGTCAAAGAGCAGACTGCCATAATGCTTCGCATGCCAGCCATGCCTCCGTGTTGGCAGTGGGTCCCGGCTGGGTGGGCGGGAAAAGTTTCGAGTTGCTGCTAAACTTGCGGCGCTTCCAAGTTGCAAGTCGCAAGTCGCAAGTTGCAAGTTGGCCAGCACGCGAATTTTGTCGATTATGAGTTGTTGCTGCAGCTGGAGGATACAATTTCGGGACATGCTCAACTAGCAATAATTTGCATGCAACTCTCGAGTGGCTGTGGCATGCAACGAGACTGCCTCACGCAAGCCTCATAATAAATTAATTACGGACTCATGTACTGCGGCACAAAAACATGATATGCATAAAAGTGTTAGACGGTATTTATGGCAATCTTTAAGGTCTTTTAATAATTAAATAATATTCGTATTATAAAAGAAAGCTTGAATGGAATTTGGGTGAGATAAAGCATTTACGAATAAAATATATATAGAATAAATATAAT